GGTATGAAAACAGCAGACAAGGGTTCGATATCGACGATACGAAATCTTCTAACGAGGAGACTTTGATAGCCCTCCAAGAGGGATTTCTTGAGTTCGGAGCTGATAGATGAATCTCTCAGCGCAGGAAGAAGTTTGCAAGAGATGTAAGAGGATCCGAGTCAAGTCATTATCACGCGTGCGTGGACTTTTCTTCCTGAGTACATGCTTTGAATCTGCAAATAAGTAGGAACAAACATGTGGAGCAATAGATGCCATGTGCATTAGGGAATAAATTGAGTCCACATATGGCACAGGTTATCCAACGCAATGAGAAGATAGATGGTGAGGTTTCTTCACATGTCGGAGGCTGCTTGACAAGCTGCAGTATGTATACACTTCCAGGTAGAGTCGTGTGGCAAAATACAGCATTCTACGTATCTATACTAAAGGAAACAAGCGGTAGTAACTCGTACTGTGTCCCTGTGCAGGTGCGCTCTTGTATATTTGTCTTGGACGTACGTGGAGGTTAAACGAGTCGAGTCCATCCATGCACTCCATGGCGTTTTATCTTTCTCAAAACCAATATAGAGCTCTACAAAAGCAACCTTAAACAAAACAACAAGTGGCAACTGCAATTGAGTTGTATTGACAACAATGGCATGAGAAAGTTTTCCACGACTAGTCAATCAGAATACAATAGTCAAGACATGGTTAGGTCCCTCTCCCCCACAGAGATGCTCTTCTCATCTTCTGCTCTTCTTCGTTCTTTATTCCCCCTCATGCTGCTGATCTAATATCCTAAGTTAACCAACACATATAATGAAGAACCAAAAGGAATTAACTAATCAATAAACAATGAAATTAATACTCGGATAAGGTCTGGTTGTGCATCATGATCAGAACCAGTCCTGCGACAGGTCGCAGTCGTCGTTCTCGCCGATCAACCCCGGATCGTCTTCTCCCCGTTGTCGCACGGAGCGCTGAGAGCCATTGCCATCGGATGAAGAGCTTTCATGAGATAGGGTCCTTTTCGATGAAGACGGTTCATTGCCTGAGGGCAGCACCTCGGGCATTCTTTGGGCATCAGTTGCAGCAGAAGCGGCGGCGGCGGTGGCGGCGGGTCGTCGATCAAATGATCTCACGCAGCCTGACTTGGTATACATGCGGCACACGCTGAATTCGCTGCGGAGCTGTGAAAGAAGAAGCGCAAGATGCAGGAGTTTACTGCAATGGTGCGAAGTGGACTGATAGGGTTCTGGTGCCACTATGGAGGCAATGATTACCTTCTGTGTTGCGCTTAGCGGAACGGTGGTTGCACCTTCCTCGAGTGCTCTGTACTCGTTCATCTTCCACCTGGTCTTGGTTCCGGTGGGAGTTCGTCCTTGGTAGAAGACCATGGTCCTCTTCATACCCATGACTCGGTTCGTGGACGAGAACACGTAGCTCAGGGATCCGGTGGCCTTCCAGTAGCCCGATGGCGTGGTTCGAGTCGGCCGCCCTCCATGCGCTTCCCTCTCCTGCCTTGGGCATAAGAACAACCATTGCTCTCCATCTCGCCTGCAATGCTCTCCAGACAACGCTACGCAGCACCACGTTCCGCCAGATCAAGATCATCAGCAATATATGTAGGGAAAGAAGACTCTACAAGACAATGAAAAGAAGCTGCGCTTACGAGGAAGCTGCCATGGATCGAGGCAGTAGACATCAACCACGGGGATGACCTGTTCCATGTCTTCTCTTCGGTTCTCGAGCTTGTTCTGAAGGTAGAAACCGATCAACTCTTCTTCGGTCGGGTAGAAACGGAACCCCGGCGGGACGGTGTTCATCTCTCCCCCTTTCGTCTTTGCCGATTCCTTGTGGATCAACCTAGCTACAGGGCTGCAACTTGAGCTTCGGGGCTCAGAAGATTAATGGAAGGAAGGTCTGCTTCCATTTGGGATGGTCCGGGTCACTTATATATACAGGACTCGGACGAGGGGAAAGACAGAAAGGAGCAGTGATGGTGGGGCAACTGATGTGGAATTCTAATTAACATGCTGTGACCTTGTGGAAACCCACGATGAGGAAGGCAATGACCGGGTCAATCTCCTCCCGAGTTCCCTTTTCATAAGCTTTAAGAATGAATTCTGTATCTCTTACGAATCTTATACAGGGGGGAGTAGGTCAGCCTTTGCCTACACGAAACTGGGATAACTCTATACCAAGTTGTGTCTTCTTCTGTAAGACCTCTGACACCTCACAAGAACTTAAAGTTTCCCTCGATCCGGACTTGACTCGTTCTGATGCCGAGATTATACTGCTCAGGGATAAATACTGGCAGTCTAAATCATAAGTTACTCACTGTTATTATTTGTCAGTGGGAACGCCAAGCAACGTCGCGACAAGGATCCTAACATGAGGCATTGATTTCTTCCACGCTCCGTGGTGGTCCATGACCGAAGTCTCCCGTGATGTTCATCAGCTATCCAAGCGGTCGTCCTTCACTGCGCATAAGAGAAAGATAGATAGGTTCGTCTCGCATTCAAGTACTTGGGTTGCTGGATCCAGCAACCGTACAGAAGTCACTCGTTATGCTTTAGAGTTTACAGCGAATCGAAACGGAAAAGGGAATTATCCTGTGCCCAATGCTTTGCCAAGCCACCCAATCAAACTGTGGCAAGTGGGGAACACAAAGGAGGAGGAGGAGGAGGAGGAGGAAGAGGTTGATGCTCTTCCGCGGCTTGCTGTTTGACAAACGCGTGGGTTGATCACTTCCACGCCCTTTTCTAATATCAAATGTCAAATGGAAATATGCATTGGATTCCGATGAAGCGGACGGGAGTCAATTGGGAACCAGGAGAGGACGTTAACGCGGCTGTGCAGACCGGAGATAGATCCCCTTGACGCACAACACGACTCCCATTGGCACCTGTGGAGATGATCGCGACAGCATGACGTATTCGGCACTCTGACTCGGTCCATCCCAACGTGTGAGTAGAGGTGACACAAACCATCGTCTCAAACATCTCCGTTTACCGGTTAAACGACGCTGACATCTCTAGATCCTTCCAATCTCTCTCTCTCTCTCTCTCTCTCTCTCTCGCTCAATCCATCTATGGTAATCCTCTCACGTGGCTTCTTCATCTGATTTCGTGCTCTCCCTTCAGGACTCCTCGAGTAAACTCAAGCACGAAACAGCGGACGGGTTGAACAGATTGGAGTCGAGAGAAAGAGTAGGAAGGAGGTAACAGGAGGGAAATGCATGCATGTGTTAGCTGAACTGCCCACATTAACATATTAGTAAACAAGTAGCAGTAATCACTGATGCTTACTCAAAAAAAGTTCTTTTAGCTGTATAGAACTAACTATAAGCTCCTAATGGAAACCATCTGTTTCATTTCTATCTCTTGCTTTTTGTAGCTTAAACAACAGTACACCAGAACATCTTACAACGACGGTGTGTGGAAGCAGTTGAAGTTTCAACCTAGAGAGAGAAAAAGAGAATTAAGGTAGCAATCAGATTTAACACAAGTAGCAATCACTACCATCCATTCAGACAATTGTTATCCTTGTTGGTTAAACCAAGTTATGAGCTAATCTGTAAGAACAGGTGGATAAAAGGGATATGAAAGCGACTAGAACTATAACGATACACCTGAGGAATTAGCAGTCTAAAACTGTACATATACCAGTATCATCATTACAGGCCTCTTGATTACCACAGGAGGAAGAACGATGACGCATTAATGGATAAAACATTCAGCACAACCTCATCATAAAGCACTAAAATGGAAGAGGAGGATGTTGTATGTAAAATAGATCAATGTCGTGAAGAAGCACATCGAATTGAAGAAGCAACCAAATGATCCTACCTCAGGCACCATGAACCAAGCCAATTGGTGCTTGCTTTCGTACTACAAGTGCGGATGAAGCCTAATACTACACCAATTTTTGGTATCTCCTTTCTAAGATTTTCTTTCCTTCTATTAGATTTTTACTAATCAATATTGATCCTCTATTAGATTATCTGATGTTATCTAATTAGGTAAAATATATTATAGATATATTTAGATTTTAATTATAATTATCGATTAATAATAAGAAAATTCAATTATAATAGGATTTCCTAGGAGATTATCAAGAGATTTTCCTAGTTACTTATTTTAGATCTTCTACTCTCGTTTATAAATAGATATGATCTTCTAATAAATTAATATATAAGGTCATATGAATAATAAGAACAGAGGAGAAGACAGAGTCTAATTCTCATTACAAATTGATATTATTATTTTAAATTCGTTTACGATATACTTATAAATGAGATAAAGATTTTGTAAGAACCATTAAAAAGTATGTATCATAAATTTAAATTTATTATTATTTAATTTTATATTTTGATATTAAATTTTTTCGTATAATAATAATAATATTTTTATACTCGGCAATCTCAACTTCAAACAGTAAATCAGAACATGATCCATGAGCCTAAGTAATCAAATTGGCACAGTTAGGAGCTCAAAGACTACAATCAAAGGTCATCAATTCACTTGATTTTATGATCGAATAAAGATATTGTCAACATCATAACATTATTATATGAGTCTCATTTTATTTTTCTTAAATAAAAAAATAGCACCACCCGTCATCAATTTCTTATTTTTTTAAACACTATTTTACTAAAATAATTATTTACAAATTCACTTTCACATTTTAGTGTGTTTATTTATTATATTTTATTTACTAATGTTTGTTTTCATTAATTATTAGCATTGTCTTTTGTTTTATGAATTAAATGATTTTTATTTTTCAATCTATATTTTTTATTTTCATGAAAAAAATAAAATGGTGATTTTGTTATATCAAAATAAAAACCATCAGCCTATTTGAATATAATATATTTTGTTGAGCTCATTAACACGGGGTTTATAAATAATAAATTTAAAATTAATATAAAACAAGGGCTAATTAGTAATCAAGACAACAGTAATGACTAAGCTATAAATAATCTGGGTGAGTCCGCCACGCCATTTACTCCGACCTGGGCCCAAATCCATTGCCCTTCCTCGCCTCCCGCAGTCGATCTCTCCGGCGACGGCATGATTTCTCCGGTAATCCTTCTCGATCTATATCTGCATCAGTCTTTAGTCTCGAAGATGTACAATCTATCTAGGTTGAATTGAACTTTTTTTCCTTTTGATCCGACGCAGGAGACGAGTCCGCCGAGGTCATCCTCGCAGAGCCCTAGATCTCCGCCAGCGGCGCCCTTCCTCTATATATCCGTCACCGAACCCGTCAAGTTAGGCAATGGCGTCCAGGCCTACATCTCCTATCGCGTTATCACTAGGGTGAATCTCTGCCCACACAATTCCCCTCTTTTGTTTTGGAACTTGCTTAATCTTTTATTTCTTTTTGGTGCCCGAAGCTTGTTGTCGTTTTATCATCTTTCCATCGAATTAGGGATTGATTATAAGGGAATGCTGTTGGAATTGCCTTTTCGTTGTAAATTTATCTTTTGTCAAGCTAGATTGTGTGGATAAACTTTTGGCTGCTGTGTAAAGATGATCTGGATTTACTGATATTTTCATGGCTAGGAGTAACCACTTTGGTTTACATTAGGCTTCAAAGTAATCTGTAAATATCTTGACGCACGTTTAAAGCCTTTGTCTTCGGGATCCAAAGATGCTCTCGATAGTTTGGTGTTTAGGTTCAGCACATCTCATGATACTTTAGGTTTCAAAATTATTTAAACATCTCGAGGAGTATCTTTTAAATCCTATTATACTGAACATGACTACCTTAGTGTTGCACTTGCCCATAAGGTGGCAAGGATGTTGCTAACTTGCTATATGCCCATGATTATCAAAATGCCCACGCTACATGGGCACGGGTCTTGGCATGCGGCCTTGCTCGTGCTCGATGCTAATAATTCACCAAAACAATGCTTGCTGGATATCATGGGAGCATGACACTTGGGCAGACCATGGTCCATTACTGACAAAGAATATGCTTGGCTGGTGGGTTCATTGTGAAAATGTTCACATAAGATCTTTGGTGTGTGGCATGGCTTCTGATATGGTTGACTTTCTTCTCTTTTCCTTACTGGTTTAGCTACTGTGCTTTTTTGAACTAGATTGGTCAGTGATATTATGTTGACAATTGTACCTTGAGATTGTGAGGAACATGTATGTCTACTCAGGGATGTCCATTGTTGATTTGCAAAACATAGTGTTGTCCTGCCTTTTGAGCAGGTCGTTTGGATTCAAATTCCCAAGAAAGGGATATTAATATACCAATCTGTGCAGAGAAGAAGTAGTAGATCAACTGTGTTGCATAAAATTGAAAGCTGCTATTTTCATAAATCCATTGGTGGGTTATATTTATTATATTTTGCTCTCATATAATGGTTTTTAGTAATGCTGAAATAGATAGTTCTGTATCTCAATTTCCTTTTTTCCCTTGTGGTTTTAATTTAATATGCTTATTTGTTGGATAGTGAAAGATAATCTTCTATCACTTTTTGATCATGACTGTATCTGCAGACAAATCTTCCTGAATTTCAAGGGCCAGAGAAAATTGTCATTCGCCGGTACAGTGATTTTGTGTGGTTGCATGATAGACTAGCTGAAAAGTACAAAGGAATATTTATTCCTCCCCTTCCAGAGAAGAGTGCTGTAGGTAATACAAAAGAATCATTTTCTTATTATATGTAGCTTCTTTGTTGTGACTCACATGAAAGGAAGAAAATGACATTTGTTTGTTTGTCATTGGCAATTATGATGAATATATCCATTCTGTTTTCTCATAACTGTATATAGATGTGCAACTATAATTTTAACCAACAAATTATGTTCACAGTGTCGGGTGTTGACTTTGTAGATCATAAGCAATTTTTGCAAAATAAGCAGTTGGTGTGAGTTTATTTTTAATCTTAACCAACAAGCCATATTTCACCTATGTAAAGATGGATTCCTAGATAATGGACAATTGGTTGCTAATCTATTAGTTGTCTTGACACCCGTGTGATGTACCCAGAGAAGTTCCGTTTCAGCACTGAGTTTATTGAGATGAGGCGTCAAGCACTGGATATATTCATAAATCGAATAGCTTCTCACCCTGAACTGAAGCAAAGCGAGGATTTGAGGACCTTTCTGCAGGAAGATGAAGAGGTATAATCTAGTATCACTTCTAATTTCTGCGATTGCCTGAAGTAAAGATGCAAAACTGTTATGTTTGGATATAATTACTACCTATCTCTAGAGTACTACATGTAAACATTTTGAGCATTTTTCGGCCGATTGACATGTGATATGCCATTCTGGGCATCTTCAGATCTATTCTTATATCACTAATTCAATGATGGTTGTTATTACTTTGTCTTTGGTAGCAGTTAGTAAATCCTGGTCTTGGTCTCTGGAATTTGTCACTAAAAGCTCTAGGTATTATTCAATGAATATTTTCTAATTTCAGGGAGTAGATTATATATTCTACAATGAAAGGAAAATACTAATGTTTGTCATTACCTTCTGCACCATTCATAAAGTGGTTAATCCATGAGTTTGCTACCATATGACCAACCTAAAAATTGGGAATTAACCAATTGTTGAGGCTTCCACTGCAGATTTTGGACATAAGGTTGTTGAGGCATCCATTGTTTGCACAAGGTTTTGCTTCCATTTTGAATCAGATACTGTTGCTATCTTTACTAATGTCACTCTATAAACACAATTTATTTGACCACTGTTGCTTTGAATTTGTGGCACAATGTTGCAATTTCATGTGACCTTCCTGATCTAATTCTAAGGAGCCTATAGCATCCATATTGATTATTGCATATTATCAGGATTTTAGCTAAATGAAAAGGCTATTCTTTCTCCCAATCAAGTAAACATGCTTTGAATCTGTTTCTTTTCTCTGGCTATGAGGATCCAGCAGTTCTCAAAGAGCATTTTGTTTCAAAAGATGATTATGTGATGTTATCTATGATACTGTGTGCAGACAATGGAGAGAGCAAGGTCCCAGGAGACTGGTATTTTCAAGAAGCCTGCGGATTTGATACAAATTTTTAAGGTATCTTCTCTCATTATTCAGAAAAATGAAATGCCGAGTATCTTTTGATATCTTTAGTCAACTTAAAGAATCAATCTGTTATAAAACATAATGCTCTACTGTTTTGGTAGCTGTTACATAATTTGACTTTTTTCTTATAAACCAAGATTAATTAATTCAATATTATTCTAAGTGTTGCCTATGGTTCTTGCTTTCTCCAACTTATAAACTAAGTGCTATAATTGGTTTTTCTTTTTCATCATAACTTGCACTTAACAGTGAGGGTATTTGACCATGTATATCTTTAGTGAACATATGATTTTGCTCTTATTCCACTTGAGAGGCAAACACTGATCTAAAGGATCCATCCTTACAGGATGTGCAAACAAAAGTAAGCGATGTGGTCCTTGGAAAGGAGAAACCAGTGGAAGAGACGGACCCTGAGTACGAGAAGCTAAAGCACTATATCTTTGGTCTTGAAGACCATCTAGCAGAGACACAAAAACAGGCTTTTCGTCTTGTAAAGAGGCACAGAGGTAGTATCTTCCGTGGTACATATTTTATTAATTATCTGTCATGTGCTGTTGTTTGATCTGTTAACCTGGAATTAATGGTCATGCTTTGTGCGTTTTTTGCTCCCAGAACTGGGACAGTCATTGTCTGACTTTGGGAAGGCTATGAAGCTCTTAGGTGCCTGCGAAGGAAATTCTCTTGGAAAGGTTTTTTCAGAGCTTGGTGCAAAGTCAGAGTTGTTATCGATAAAGTTACAGAAGGAGGTGCACTGTTGAACTTGGTCTCTTCATTGTTTGCCACATCGTATGTCCAGTTGGTTCACAAGTTCTATTTGATGCTGAACACCTTATTCTCTTGCAGGCTCACAACCTTTTAATGAATTTTGAAGAACCCTTAAAAGATTATGTGCGAGCTGTACAGTCTATTAAGGTCAGTTTATCTATTCTTTGATACAAGACAAGCAAAGAAACTTCCCATTAGGTACAATGATTTCAATAGGCACTCGGGAGCTCGATTAGGCGCTCGGGTGAGGCGAGGCCCGAGCGCCTCGCTTCATTTTCAAGCGGTGCGCTTCAAAGAGGCGTTGCCTGGACGCTCGCCTGAACCCAGGCGCCGGGCGCTTTGGGCGAGCGCCCGGTTAAACCAAGCGACCGAACCAGTGTTTTAGGTCTGGTTCGGTCTCCGGTGTTTTAGTTGGTTCAATCGAACCAACTAAAGCATCGATATCAGCCTTCCTCTCGCAACTTCCCAACCCTAATCCTGCTCGTCGCTCCCGCTCTCGCTCCCGCTGCTTGCTACTACTGCTGCAGCTACCATTGTCATCGCTGCCGCTACCAATGTCGTTGCTCGCCGCTCCCGCTCTTGCTGCCATTGTCGTCGCTCGCTGCTGCCACTGTCGTTGCCATTGTCGTCGCTCTCGCTGTTCGTTGCTACCGTTGCCGTTGTTGTTACTTTCAGTCAACAGCCTCGATCTTCCTCTTACTCACACTCTTCTCAGTTTGATAGTATAGTATTAACAGTATACTACTAACTGTATACTAGTAACAATATTTTTATTTATTAGATTAATAATATATTATTTTGATTTTAATACTGTTAATTTTTATTTATTTGAAATTATTGTTATTGTTTTGAATTTTGAGACTTTTTGTTAATGTGATATTGTGATTTTACAAGATTTTCTTAATATCATATTTTTATTTAAATAATTATATTTATTAATTATATTATATATTTTTATATTTTAGCGTCTCGTTTCGTTGAGGCGAGTGTCTAGCGCCTCGGACGTTTTTGGACCTTAATGTCTTTTGACACCTAGCACTTTTTAAATCACTGATTAGATATTCAAATTCTATGAGAGTGTGATCTTACCACTATTTTACAGAAGCAAAAATTGTCTTGAGTCTGTTATCAAATGGAACTAGAATATTTCAAGAATAAGGTTTAGTTATTACTTATTTCAGTATCTTCGTTGGTGGCTCATCATGATGCTTGTGTTTGTAAGCAGGTTACTTTTGCTGATAGAGCTAATGCTTTCAGACAGCACTGTGAGTTGGCTGAAACAACCAAGCTAAAGGAGATCAACCTGTATGTTTATCAAATTTTGTTCTTAATATCAATATTCTTTTTTTATGGAACTTGAAGTAATAATATCTATCTAACTACTATCTGCAATATTATCAAGTAGCGCTGGCTGAATGATTCTCTCTTCACCATGCTTTATCAATATATTACACTGCTGGAGGTCCAATAGAATTGCAACTTCGTGTGTTGGGGCTTTTGTCTATCTGCTTTAGAAGCAGATTTAGCTCATTTAAACTTAGACTATAAATTTCTAATTTTGACAATATGCAGAGACAAATTGAACCTTATGCGCTCAGACAAGGTTAGAGAAGCCGAAATGGAGTACAGGGAGGTAAGCCTCTTACTTGCACATTATGCACGCAAACAAGCACACATGATCAGACAAATATGCTTGGGTTCTAAATGCGTCTATTTTGTGACGCGATGCAGCTGAAATCAGAGAGTGAACAAGCAACCAGAAGATTTGAGACAATTGTTAGGTTGATGAACGAAGAGATAGTGCGGTTTCAAGAACAGAAGACTGCAGACATGGGACTTGCCTTCCATCAATTTGCCAAGGGACAAGCAAAACTTGCTAATGACATAGCAGACGCATGGCGCAGCGTCCTACCCAAGATCGAAGCATGCTCTGTTTCCTCACAACATGGCTAGCTCATGTTGTTCCACTTTGTGGTACTACGTGTTCGGTGGTTGGTACAAGGAAGAATTTGAGAACTTGGAACAGTGTAATAGCTCGTGTGTTACTATTTTGACTGTGTTCTCTCTCTCTCTCTCTCT